GTAGTTCAAGGTAGCACAATAAAAAATTAAACAAATTATCTGAATGATCAGTTTATTACAAATATCTAATAGATTTTGACCAACTTTAGAGGATTTTTTTTCTTTTTAATTTTAGATGATTCTTAGTGGTGCTTATCTATGAAATTCTTATTTTCTCAACTCAGAGAAAAAAGTGGTCAAGCTTTCTAAGAAACTCTTTGGCTGACACTGTCAATATTAGACAATAGTTGGTAGGTGACTGGGTGTCAACACCAGTGAGTACCAGTGAGTACTGGGTAGCATGTTAGCAGTGGATGCTGTAGGAAGGAAGCCAGGAATGGGCAGAGGCAGAAATGCTGGTTAGACTTCCATATCAGATCTGTGCCCCAAGACTTTCAATTCCATCTTTTCAACAGTGGTTTGGTTTTATATGTTTATTTAAAGGTTTTAAAAAATGCTGAACAGCTCTTAATTTTTCAAGAAGGATAATTGTATTGAAACTCAAAATGAGACAATTTAGAAAGCCAAATAACTTTTTTTTTTTTTTTTTTTTTGACATGAGCTAGATTATGGGAAGACAGAAATTTCTATTGCTGTGATTGCCAGGAGAAAGGTTTTTTCTGTTTGGAAATTGAAGAGCCTCAAATATAAGATTTTACTTGGACAAGTTCAACATAAAAAAGACAGATTCAGCTTTAAAATGTTAACACTATTAAGAATATCTTGGAAGAAAATTTGCACAGTTCATAGCAACATGCATCACTTATGTAAAAGATCTACATGTATATCTTGCTCAGGAAAAAAATTAGAAGATGGGGAAATAATATATCTTTTGTAGTGAAAATGATCAGTATGCAAAACAACTTGCAAGCTGTTGAAATACTATTTTTCTACAAAATTTTATACCATCCCTTTCTTCTATGTGCCATGCCCTGGTGTAACCGTACCAGTCCTCTGCCAAGGGTAACATTATCCTCCCTTTACAGGAAGCAAAACTGGCTCAGAGAAGTTACCTAATTTTAATTTGCCCAGGGTCCCACATTCAGAATAAGGCAGAAGTGCACCATTTCATGGAATAATTTGACTACACTCATTAAAACTGTCACTTGATGAAACACAAACCCGCAGTCTCTTTTCTATTACATTATAATTTCCTGAGATATTACATTCCTACTAAGTTTATCACCTAAATGTTAATTATTTGTTGGTGCTGATGGAATGGCAATCCCATATTTTATCATACTCAGGACAACTGGAACACAGAGGATGCTTTTCTTTCCCATGACAATGAAAAATAATGATTTCTCTACAGGCATTCTCGCCCATCGAATGATTTGCTTACAATCTCAGCTGTGGATTTTATGACACGGGATCTGAGGGAGCTATGCAAAGTGATGGTTCCTTTCCTGCTGGGAAGCAAATGAGTGCACCACAGCGGGTCTGACCCCAAACAGCCAGATGTGTGAAGTCACCACTTAACTCCCCGGGAGAAAAACCTTCCCCAGACTGCAGTGAGAGAACCGGGGCAGTCCGGAGTGGGATAAATTAGTGTTAATCCATTCAGTAAGGGTTCACCTATGATCTCCCACACCACACGGTCACTTGAATTGCTAAGGATCTTTCTAACTACTTTACTCTGAAAATACCAGAAAAGATCAACTACTGCTGAATTTTTTTTTTCTTTTTTAAGGGAGACCCTTAAATTTATCATTACTCAGTGACTTAATTCTCAAATATTTCTGGAGTACTTATCCTGTGGTGGGTAATGTGCTGGGCATTGACGGAATGGTAAACCAAAATATAGACATGCATCCCCCTGCAGCTTTTGCTGAAACAGACTGCTCCCTTGGGAGTCCTACCTGCGTTTGGTCCAGTAGAAACAGGTAATGTAGGGACCCTTTGGGCGTTTATCACTTATGAGTTACTGTCCCGAAAACTCCAAAGCGAAAATAAATGCTGTGTCTTAATCGTCATGATGTAGTACACAGAGTTTTTTGGCATTTCATTTTTTTTTTTCTTGAGATTACTATTTATCTCACTCGATACTTAGAAGACATAAAGAGCATGTGTATCCGAGTTGGAGAAAAATTATGAAACAGAGGAAAACAGAAGAAGCACTGCTCTCCCACCTTCCACGAGGTGAACTCTCAGACAGACAGAAAGGCTCACGTGTCAGATCAAGCATGTCTTGTCATGTGTTTGCGTCAACGTCATAGGTCTTAGCTCTGACTTTTCTTCCAAGCGTCAGAAACCCATGTTGATGACATGGCCTAAATGTCTACAGGGACTAAGGGAATGTTTCCATGGAGGTTTCTGCAATGTTGTGAACAACGGCAACCCACTTCTGGATCCACTCTAGGGATCACGTGGGATCCGTCTCCCTGACTTCCTCTGACACCGCTTTGCCGGCACTGGTGCTCCCATTCTGTTACCTAACTCTTACCCTCATCCGCTGCCTGCACCTCAGGCCTCCCGCCCTTCCACATGTGTCTGCGGACAGTTCTTCCTACACATCGTACTTCTTTGAACAGGCTGATGAAGTTGCTTCCCTTGCCTGTGGAAGCGAATTCTCAAGCCTGGCCCAGTGTTCCCCGGTGGACCTGAGACCACCTTTCCAGGTTTAACCCCTCTGTCATTTCTTCACCATTTCCTCGTAAATACTGTGCCACGATTAAAGAATTAGGTAGCTTCGTCTATACGGTCACAGAGCAACTGCTACAGTAATACTGAGAACAGCAAAGTGTAAAAGCATTACGGATAGTATGCTGTAGTTTATGTTCAGTAACGAAGTATGTGCACACAGATACACACACGTATCCCTTCGATACAGCAGAGAAATCTCTGGAGGAACACTTGGAAACTGGAACCGGAGACTGTTCCTGGGGAGATAAAGAGGGCAGCTTGGGTGTAAGGATGCGGGAATTCACTTTTTAACACTTGTATTTGTCCCTTTCTGTAACTTGAATTTTACCTTCTGTGCCCACATTTATTCAAAGAATACTAAAAAAATTATAACCTTGTATTCAAGTTCAATGTTTCTCTTTCATGCCCCAAATATACCTTGAACTTGCATAAACTTTCTGCTTCAAGTACTCCTCCATTACTCAACTACTCACCTCTAAATGCCACTTTATAAACACTTCCTTAAGCTTCACAGTATTTTCAGAGCAAGATACATACCTAATTTACAGACCTGTTTCATATTATTACTTGTATGCATTTTACTTCCCTTATTATCTATAAGCTTTTGAAGAGAAGGACTATCCCAGTTACAATTTTTCACAGCATTGTAACTTGAATAAACCAAAAATGAACAATAGGAAGGGTAAGGGACAGAGACAGCAGCGAGCTAAAAGGGGCAGAATCTGCTGAGTGCTTCCTTAGTGGTGCAGTTCTCCGGCTAGCAGAGAACCACTGAATGCATTAACAAAAAGGAAAGTCTTTCAACCACAGGCTAGGATGTGTGTGTGTGTGTGTGTGTGTGTGTGTGTGTGTGTGTGTGTGTGTATGTGTGTGTTTAGGATTAACTCATGGTTCACAAAATGTACTTATTATTAAAGATGTGAACAACTTTCGATTTCAAAATCGTGTGTTATACTTTAGGCTATGCGTTTCTCAAGGGTTTCACAAGAAAGGGAAAAGGATTACAAGGATTGCTTTGAGGACAAATAATGAAGAGACCGTCATTCCAATTCAAAGGTCAGACACTGAATCACTTCTTATGTGTAATTTCTGTTCTCCACCTGACTTCTGAACATTTGCCTCTTTACCCTCCCTTCTATGGACTCGGCCCCTCCACTTCACCCACATCCTTATTTATTTATTTATTTATTTTTAAAGATTTTATTTATTTATTTGACAGACGGAGATCACAAGTAGGCAGAGAGGCGGGCAGAGAGAGGGGGGAAGCAGGCTCCCTGCAGAGCAGCGAGCCCCATGCAGAGCTCCATCCCAGAACCCTGGGGACACGACCCAGGCAGAAGGCAGAAGCTTTAACCCACTGAGCCACCTGGCGCCCCCACCCGCATCCTTAATAACAGGTTCTTCTCTGCTCTGCTCTTTGCATCACCGTGACTATTTTAAACTGTTGTATGGTCACCTCCTCTGTTCTGTCTTCCACCTTAAGTTACAAACAGTCACCTTTATTTTAAAATTCTTACAGGTCATTTGACCTGGTTTTTTTTTTTTTTTGCTTCTGTTTTACACTGCACACGTGGAAAATCTTTCCCTCTTCCCCAAATATAACTTCATATGATCACAGCCATGAAAAAAGGACATCCTAGGAATTTACATTTCAGCCCAGAAGTTAGGACATCAAAAAAAAATAATAAAGACTTTCCTGTAAGAAATGGTGAATTCATGCTGTTTGTTTGATAGGTTTCACAGATTTTTTTTTAAGAAACAAAATATATATTAAGCCTGGAAGCAAAAGCAGATATTAAATGTTTAATATACAAAAATTCCCAGGTAGGGAGTGCCTGGGTGGCTCTGTCAGTTAAGCATCTGCCTTCTGCTCTGGTCATGATCCTGGAGTTCAAGAATGGAGCCCCGCATCAGGGTCCCTGCTCAGTGGGGGTCTGTTTCTCCCTCTCCCTCTGTTCTTCCCCAACCCCTCCACCACCTGTGCTCTGTCTTAAACGAATAAATAAAATCTTAAAAAAAAAATTCCCAGGTAGATAAGAGCAAATTGCAGTCACTCAGTAACCTCCTGACATAAAGCTTTTGTAAAGCAGTTTTGTCTCACACCATCAAGCAAATCATTTAGCAACTTGTTTTAGTTGTCACGGACACAAAGCTAGAATCTATTTACCTCAACATGGCTCAGAAGAGCATACAGTATATACAGTACACAGTATACAGGTTCAGAACAGAACAGTATATGTTATGTTATAGAACAAGAGTGAGAAGTACATTTTAACCTAAGGAAGATCAACTATATCCATAGCTATTTGGATATAGAATAAAATTCTACAAGTTGATTAAGCCATTAAAGGATTTTTTTTTAAGATAATTTTACTTACATCAAGAGAGCCTTCATTGATAACAATCATTCCCATGTTCTTCTTCAGAAGTTTGCAGGAGTGTCCTATATCCAAACAAAGAGTAGATTAATTGATGGCATTCATTTCTCTAGAGAGAAGTAGTGAAGATGTTAAAGCGATAATACTATAAAAGCATCTAAATTTTATTTTTAATCTATTTTATTAGATAGAATTAAGGTTTTATCTATTTTATTAGGACTTGATGACAGTCTCCTGTTTCTAGGTTTGCAGGCAGTTAAAGAAATGGTTTTGCTTATTATAGGAGGGACGCAAGGGTAACATTCGGTGTGTTAAGGCTGTCTTAACAAACAAGTAGGGAAAGAGAATGTGCTGATGATTCTCAATATCCTGAAAACTAACAAATTTATAAGAAATGTCCTTCACGATGACCAACATGAGGAGCAGGAGATGGGCTGATGGTTGTTTCTGGAGAAGGCACAGGAGGGTCATCAGGCTATCTTTTGGACCAGTGATCCCACCACCATCTTCCTGCCCTCGGACTGTGGTCATGTCCTCTATGGTTCTGTCCTCTCTTGCTTTGCCGTACTTGCCACAGGGCAAAATCACCTGCTGGTTTAACCAACTTGGCCTCCTCTGGGACCTCCTGCATATAACTGAACATGGCTGGAGAGAAATGCAACTCAGCTGACTGGAGCCTAAAATAGGACCCTTGCCTTTGAACTAATATTATCAATACTTACTCCTTTTGCGAGCTCATTTGAGACAGTGGTTTTCAGTACCATCTAAACACTGAACATTCTGGAACTCAGATCTCCCACTGGGAGCTCTTTCCTAAACTCCAGCCTCTCCCATTCCAGCGCCTGTGTAACAGCAGACACAGAGGTGCAAAACAGGCGTCTCAAACTCAACAGATCCAAAAACGAGACCCTTGATCTCCTCCCAGAAAACCTGCTTCTGCTTCTCCTCATTCTGGTTAATGGCAATTCCATCCTTCAGGTGCCATGGCTAAAAATCCCAGGAATTATGCTGGAGTCCTTTCTCTCAAGCCCTACCTCTAATCCATTCGTCAATCCTGTGGGCTCCATCTTTAAGACAGATACAAATGCCAACCATTTCTCACCACTTTCACTGTTGTCACCCAGGTCCAAGTCACCACCGTGCCTCACCTGGATTAAATATGAGAGCCTCTTCACTGTTCTCTCCGCTTTCACACCTGCTTCCCTTCCAGTCCATTCGCAGCCAGCCGAGTGGCCAGACTGATCGTTTTCCCAGGAAAGTCAGTCCAGGTGTCCTTCCTCTGCTCAGAACCATCCCATCTCACCCAGAGTAAATGCAAAGCCCTTACAAGCATCTGGGAGGCCTCATCCAACCTGGGCTCTGTTATGCTGCTGGCCTTTTCTCCTACTCTCCCTCTTAGTCTGGAAAGAAGACAGCTTTCCCTTATCATCCAAATGAGAATCTCCCTCCTTCTCCTCTCTTGGTTCTCTCTCAAATGTCACCATCTCAATGAGTTCTTCCTGACCTCCTGATTTAAAACTGAATACTTCGGGGTACCTGGGTGGCTCAGTGGGTTAAAGCCTCTGCCTTCAGCTCAGGTCATGATCTCGGAGGTCCTGGGATCGAGCCCCGCATCGGGCTCTCTGCTCAGCAGGGAGCCTATTTCCCCCTCTCTCTCTCTGCCTGCCTCTCTGTCTACTTGTGATCTCTGTTGGAGAAATAAAATCTTTAAAAAACAATAAATAAAACTGAATATTTCTGTGCGATGCACCATAACCATTTCATATACGAATCTCACCTATTTTATTCTAGGAGAAAAGCCCCAAAGATTATGACCTAAGACTCTAAAAGTTAAATGTTCCCAGAAACCACCATCATATTCTCCGTAGTCATAATGACTACATGCTCTGAGCTATTTTCAGGATGGCTTAATTTTCCTTGGCTATCACTCTTTGCTACCATATAGTCTCCTTCTACCTGCAGTCACGTTTTTTTGTTCAGCATGTTTGTCTTTTTCGGGTCTCCCAATGCTAAAGCATTGTGTATTCTCATGCATCTTCTTTCCATTTGTCTCTAACACCAGTGATAATTTTTATAATCAAAATTAACCATGTGTGTGGCTTTTAGATTTATACTTCTGCTAACTAGTGTCTTTTAAAAATTTCCCTCTCCTATTGGCAATTTACCATAAGTCTGTATTTTATATTTATAGAATGCTGTGATTGCTAAAAATTCTAAAAGGAGCATTAGCTAAATGTTTCTTTCTTTTTTTTTTAAAAGATTTTATTTATTTATTTGACAGAGAGAGACACAATGAGAGAGAGAGAACACAAGCAGGGGAAGTAGGAGAGGGAGAAGCAGGCTTCCCGCAGAGCAGGGAACCCAACGAGGGGCTCGATCCCAGGACCCTGGGATCATGACCTGAGTGGCAGATGCTTAATGACTGAGCCACCCAGGCGCCCCAGCTAAATGTTTCTTAATGATATGACAATGACTTTCTAAAAATGTGGTTTCATGCTATAAACACCTCTGAATGGTTTCAACTTTGGGAGAGTTTTGGATGTAACTCATATCATGAATATCCAGAGGCTGAATCTACATCAGGGTTGGCAGTGTTCAGGCAACCTACTATTCCCGAATGTGGAAGAAAATAAAAAGAGTGACGTTTCCTTACTTATTACTGGTACTACAGGTCTCACACCAAATACTATTGTTCTTCTCAATGAGACATCTGTTATGGACTGAATTGTGCCCTCCCTGTTTTTACACGTTGGAGCCTTAACCCACAATATTTGCAGACTGGGCCTTTAAGATTGTTAGAGTTAAATGAGGTCAGAAGGCGGGTTCCTGATCCAATAGCACTGGTGCCTCGTAAGAAAAGAGAGAGACACCAGGAACATGCATCTACAGAGGGGAGGCTAGCTACAGAGGGGAGGCACAGCAGGAAGGTGGCCACTGCAAGCTAGAAGGAGAAACTTCGGGAGGAACCAAACTGACTGACACTTGATCTTGAACTTCCAGCTTCCAGAAGTGTAAGCAAATAAAGTTCTGCTGTTTAACCCACACCACCTGTGGTATTTTGTTATGGCAGTGTGAGTTACTTAGTAAAACCTCTTTGAGAAAAATGAATTAACTGCAGGATGAATGAAACCTGGCAACCTTCTTATCTCCCATTCCTAGAAATAACCTGTGGTCACATAAACAAGTGCCAATACACAGGTCTGCCATAATCCCAATCTCACGTTCACAGGCAACTGCAGAGATGTTATCTACATGTGTCAGTTATGGTTGGACGGGGGGCGCGCAGGCAGTGAGACAAAGGTGAGGGAGGGTTATTTTGTGTTTGCAAGATCTAAGGTCTGGCTGTATACAGAACCACAGCAAATGTAAAGGGGCACTGAGGCCATAAGTATATAGGGAAGCCCAGTAATATTACAAATATGGAAATCTTACAAAACCAAATCTTTCAGATTTTGAAATAGCTCAAACTTATCTTCTAAAATATGTCAAAGTGAGAAAAAAGCATCACAATGGAAAGCTTGGATTAGGGGACTCACCAATGTTAATGGCAGTTTCTTGCTTGTCCCCTGTAAGGATCCAGATTTTGATGTCTGCCTTCATGAGAGTTTCTATAGTTTCAGGCACTTGATCTTGTAACTTATCCTCAATGGCTGTAGCTCCAAGTAGTTGAAGATTCTAGGGAAAATTAGTAGAAAAAATTTTAAGAAAAAAAAATGGTTTCGATTAAGAATTGAAGTGTGCATATGTCTTTCAATCAGAGACTAAATGGTAATGCATAGACTTTGATGTAAATTCCAACTATCCCATTGAGTTTTCTCCTAAGGATCCCTGACTTTAATCCAGTACTTCGGCATGAAGCTAAAGAGACCTACACTACCTTACTCCTCTCTAAGGTAGAGAACGGCTTCTTACAAAAACACAACAAATCCAAAGGGACTTAAAGAGGAGCAGACAGCTACTGAAAGATAGCAACAGCAAAAACCACGAAGATGACCCCAGCAAAGAAGCAATCCTGCTGACCTGTTTGAAAAAGAATAAGAATAAATGCTTATTAAAAAAGAAAGAATGCTCAGATAATTCAATTGTAGCTTGATGCTGTGTCAGAAAAGGTACACATATCATACAATTATAAACGCTGAGGGAGAGTGAAATAAACCAGGTGATCGCATCAGTGTCTGTAGGAAAGAACAGGCTGGGTATTTTTCATGTTGCTCCCTATCTGTGTAGTGGACGGTCAGTCTTGTGCACTAGACGGTTTCTTTCATATAAGACTGGACACCACCAATACATTCTGCAGGAGGCTCTTATCGCTCCCCAAGAAGAATATTTTTCTGCTTTCATCTTCCTAAATGGAGGAAGAAAGATAACAACTTTTTGGCTATTTGGGAAACCTGGCTCCCCACACAGATGCAGGTAATTGTTCTTGGTCCTCGATACACAGGAATAGACCGTGACAAACTAAGCCACAATCAACGGATTCTTGGATTTTTCCCTGTACCCTAACCACCAATATGACTCACGCCAACATTTATCTTTCTTATCATGTTTTTCTCCTTCTTGCCTTCACTTTTTATTTAAAACATCAGACAAGGACAGTATACATACAAGGGAAATCAAGTGCTAAGGAGTGTCCAGATTGGTAATAACAAAGAAGGCATTCCATTTCCTCTCATCCTTCGAACACTGAGTTCTCTTTACTATTTACTGAAATGTAAGTCTAAAATTAGCCATAATTTTAGGCATGGAAAATAAATTAAAATAGATGCAAACACATGAATAAGTGCGAGAGAGTTTATGAATGTATCAGGAATGCTTTCGAATATGACAGAAAATATCTAACTAACAATAGCTTAAATAAAGATTTGGTTTTCCTTTTGTAAGTAGTATTGGGACAGGCAGTCCCAGGCACTAGATTCACTCTGCACATCTCTCTCAACATCTCAAGGGGGTGCCATGGCTGTAATTACCACTGCCACACTCCAAGACAAGAGGAAGGGGGTAACGTCAACTGTACCCATCTCCTATTTGAAAACAAAAGTGTTCCCAAAAGTCCTTAGCAGATTTCCAAATATGGCCATATTTGGTTATTTAGACTTACATCGCCATCCTTAACTATTAGCCCTCAGCTTTGCCAGCCTCGGTAGTGGGATGGCAGACAGAAGAGGGATGGGAATGGATGTTAAATTCGCCAGCCAATAGCCTTCGCCACAGTGCTTACATGGGGGCATGCATATGCATGGGTGTTTATGCACATGTGTGTTTATATGTGCACGTATGTTTATGGATACACACGACATGTCCTCTGTTACTTTGCTGGAGATACCTGGCTCATCCTGCAAGGCCAAACTTAAAAGTTACTGGTTCTTTGAAGCTTTACTAAAAGAAATTTTCCCTCTCCAGTGCTCTGACAGAACTTGGCTCATCTTTACACATCTTAATTTATCATATTCAGATGAACTGTTTAACCTGATAGTTTTGCTCAAGAGTAGGGACCATGTCTTGTTCATCTTTATACAACAACTCCACAACACTGACAGTCAGTATTCAGTGTCTAAATTAGTGAAAGTGAGGGAATGACCAAAAAAAAAAAAAAAAAAAAATCAAGAGAAGTCCTAAAGCCAAATGTTATAAAGCATTGCTGCAATCGAGACCATATTCTTTTCAATGTATTCCAGATAAGGTATATAGCAATTAGGTTCACTTGATGCATGACTTCTTAGTTTATAATACATAAGACAGGAAGGCAAATTCCCTTCTTGAAGGAGATAGTATTTTATTATCTTTAATGGGAAGCAGATTTGAAATCTATCGTAACCTGATGAATAATTATCATCAAGAAGTTCAAGAATGAAAAGGAAGAGTTCAGCAACAACTATGCCAACATCACAATTGCTGTACTTTAATGTTGAGACAAGGATTCTACCCCCATTCTTTAAGCAACTTTTGGGGCTTCTGTAGCTAAATCATCCTGGCCACCATCCCAGGGAAGATCAGAATATAGCTGTGTTCAAATGTCAAATATTCCACAGAAAACATGATAAGATGTTTTAATGGTCATGGGGATAGTTCAGTAACACAAGCTCTCAAAATTTTCTAACCTAAAAGTCTTTTTCGCAATGTCTCACAAAACCCTGAGGTAAGTCGACAATGGGAGAGCCAAGAGGTGAACACCTTCATCAGAAATACATATTTGTGGGGGCACCTGGGTGGCTCAGTGGGTTAAGCCTCTGCCTTTGGCTCAGGTCATGATCTCAGGGTCCTGGGATCGAGCCCCACATTGGGTTCTCTGCTCAGCAGGGAGCCTCTCTCTCTGCCTGCCTCTCTATCTACTTGTGATCTCTCTCTCTGTCAAATAAATAAATAAAATCTAAAAAAAAAAAAAAGAAATACATATTTGTTTATCTTGTAGCTCTGAGGGGAGAAATGAGCTCAGGAAGAATACAGATATACATGATCATGCACAAATCTAATAAAAATAAACTGACTGCATGGGGGACGTCACACTGAAGCCTTATTTGAAGGAAGGATTTCGTTTTGCCCAGGTAAAAAGGAAACATTTTTCAAACCAGGTAAAAATAATATAAAGGATTAAAGAGCTGTTGGGCCAACGATGTGTATGTGGAGAAAAGTCAACAGGCAGGCTAACTTGGGGTGTGTCGGTTACTACGACAAGAAGAATTTCTAAAAAGGGTGATGAAACAGTTCTGACTACCCAGCAAAATTGCAGTGGGTCTGTTTTGAAGACTACAAAGGAAAAACTGTTCTCAAACCTGTTTATCTTCCTTTTATCTTAAGAACTCCTCTGGTACAGCACTTACTAATTTCAGTGGAAGGCTCTGTAGCCTCCTTTCCTTTGGCCCTGGTGTCATTTATTGTGAGATTAAGATCTCTAGTGATAGGCTGTTCTGCCCCTGGAAATTAATATCTTTAGCTACATAATGACCACTAGAAAAAAATGTGAACTTTGCGTGCTTTTCCTGATCATAACACAGGAGTGTTTAAGCCGTAATCAATTTCATCCCAAACATGTATTACCTTACACAGATGGCCAGTAATGGGCACTATGGGAATTACATATTCAGCAAGTGTTGAAACGTGATAAAATTCCCACGGCATTTATGGAATTAAAAAAAAAAACCAACAAAACCTCAAACACTAATTTTACTTTCAAAATGTTCATTTTGAAATGTTTCAAAAAGTTTCAAAGTTTCAAAAAGTTATAAAGGTTTCAGGTTGCTGACTCTTTGATATAATGTAGATTTAATTATCACTGAAAAATCATGAAATAATATTTATTCGCCTAGTAAAGCCTTCAAGAATCTTATGTTCTCTCTCAGATGTTCGTAATGTATTCAGAATTTTTTAAAAGTCATATAAATGTAAAATTTCTACCCTAGCAAAGATAAAAGGCTTCGTGCAGCATATTTAAAAAACTGTATGATAAAATGTATTATGATAGACTTAGAAATTATGTTTTTCTAAGCACATGTATATTTTGCTAAATAAGAGAACCTCAAAATGACTTATTTCCATACTAGCAAGTGTTTGGTTGTACTTAGATTGTTTTGTTATTTTTAAAAAGCCTGCGACAATGTTCCTAAACGATCAGAAGCATAATAATCAAACTCATATCAATTTGGGTTTCAGATTACAACACGGGCTATTTGGCAGATGTTTTTTTAAAGACAAATAAAGAAAGAACGTCGGTAAGCCAAGTTTTCCTACTGGAGTAAATATGAGCAACGTTTGGTAACCTCTATTTCAATATGAAATAAGACTGTGACCAGGAAGATGAAGAAATAGTTCCCTACTAGAGAAAATGTATCAGACACTGCCAAGTGTTTTACATTTATTAATTCAGTTAATAGCTTTGAGGAGGTTGGGTAAATTATCCAAGGCCAAAGAGAGGTACAGCTGAGCTATGGTGTTAAGAACAAAATCTCAGGAATCCACAAACACCCAAAGGCAGCAAATGAGAAGTAAAACATTAAATGTAAGTTAGAATTTTATTCAAATCATTATAGGTTTTTAAATATTTGTTTCTGTTCTTTAGTCTTTGGTAGTAACTGTGTTTCTCTGAATCGGTTTCAGACTTGGTCCTGAGCCACTCCTGCCGATTGTACCTACTTCCTCATTTCTTTCTTCTTTCTTTTTTTTTTTTTAAAGATTTTTATTTATTTATTTATTTATTTAATTTACTTATTTGACAGACAGAGATCACAAGCAGGCAGAGAGGCAGATAAAGAGAGAGAGGGGGAAGGAGGCTCCCTGCTTAGCAGAGAGCCCAATGCAGGGCTTGATCCCAAGACCCTGGGATCATGGCCTGAGCTGAAGGCAGAGGCTTTAACCCACTGAGCCACCCAGGCACCCCTCCTACTTCCCCATTTCTACCTGTGGGCTCCAGAGTCACATTTTGGGACTGGTCCCTCTCCGCACATGCAGGCCTGCACTCCCTCACTCACAGATCCACTCCAAGCAGGTAGTTCTGGGCAAGGTGGTGGGATCCAACCACGAGTTCCTTCCTCTGGACCATTTATATTTTAGAACCTACTAGGAGACATTCTTCTTTGGATTCCCCCTAGCTTTCTGATCATACCTCTGTTCCTTTCACTGGTGTCTGCTTCTCCTAGACCCCGGCTGCCTGGTTAGCATCAAACCCCAAGGAAGTAGCCATG